TATGATTGGGAGCCGAGGGGAAATGTATATATAACAGGAAATAATAATAATAATAATAAATTGTTCTCACAAGTACAGCCCAGACCTTACGAAGGGCTTATCTATATATATATATATATATATATATATATATATATTAATTGGTTAGTGGAAAATGTCATGATGCCAATTCTAACCTTAGGTCTCTGAGCGGGACCCGGAAAGAAATGTGTACACACCAGAAACCAGAGGAAATATAATAATAATAATAATAATAATAATAATAATAATAAAAATAATAATAATGTTTTTATCGGTAAAATTTCGGAACATTATGACTATTGTTATTTATTAAGCTATAGTTTCTTGAAAAATCATCAAAATATTGATAATGTTTCATAAATTGCATAGGTCTATAGTGAGGATTTATATCAGAACTATCCGCAGAATCTAGTCGGCTGATCGGCAGCTAAACCGGTTCCCGCGCCAGACTTTTCTGGTGGGGAGGCGGGTAGCTAGACACCTAGGAAGGATTAAAAACAAGACCTTTCAAAGGGCGGAAGGACGCCCTTCTAAGGTCTATGGCTATGTACGAAGTGGGGTAGACTGTGCAGTTATGACACGGGCAGGAGAATTCCTAGACTGTTGCCGAAGGTGGCCTTCAAGTTCGAGAACATCAGTTGTGGCCTGATGTGTAATCGGGGTTGGGATCGCCCGGTCTACTTGACGACACGCTGCTTCATGAGTGAACAACTTCCCGTCTTTTAAACCAGATATGTCGAGAGAGAACTGGTCGGGTGAGCAGTTGCACAACGACTCTACTTAGTCTGGTTTGTTAGCTTTTATATGTCTCTCAGCATATCAGTATGGATACTAATAGTGACCTTATGGCGTTTTATGACTGTTTCAGGGTAATGTTCATAGCAATTTTCAGCATGTAGTGCACTCTAATACTGACATATCTGATGTTGCCGATGATAATACTACACCAACAATGATTTTAAGATGTTATTTTCAACTTGAGAAGACTGAGTTCAGCCTCTTTCCAAAAGGTTTGAGACGTTGAATTTTTCAGATAAATTTGCACATATCTTTTCTACCAGAGATTCAGACAGGAAATCAATAGAGGTATGCTTAACAAGATTAATCGCTGGGTATGTACAAGAAATATTTTTCGATTACACCAGTGTCTGAACTTGTTGTATTTGTTTGACATACTGCAGAAATGAATCGATTTCACTACAAAATATCTTCTAATATGCATAACTGTCCGCGCATATCCGAGTATGCCTGTCAGCTAAGCTGCATAACCAATCCTTGTTGCAGACACCTGCTCATTGTGGTTGTTCACGGAGCCAACCTGCTGTTTATACTACATCTATGCTGAGCGGATCTTAGTTGCAGTTTCTGGGAAAGCAGTCATAACCTAACGTGATCATAATTCTGAACAAGTCGAGCCTACTCAAAACCTCGGTCACGATGACTTGTTAATTCGTGCTTGCACAACAATCGACAGCTTCCAAACATTTCTGTTTAACAGTTTCACTCACAATTCGTATGTGTTTCAGGCATTTCTCAAAGTTGAGATCCTTTTTTTGTTTTTGCATTGGAAAGAAGAAAATCTATTAATAACCTTCAAGACAGGTGTAGCTGCATTTGCATGAGTTAAGATATGATCTCTTTTACATTTTAACACACACATATATATATATATATATATATATATATATATATATATATATATATATATATATATATAATAAAAATTTTTAGATGTATCAAGGGTGGTCTTCAGTGATGCACTGTCTTCATCGCCGATTTCGGGTTTTGCATCATATCGGCTCAAATAGCAACCCCGAACTGACACCGGACGAGTCAGTCCGCTTCCTTGAAGCATCGTGCTACGCACCTCGACACTGCAAAAGTCATAACGACCGACATCATCAGGAGTCCGACCGTTCTTATTGAAATACGTCCGTCAGCGTAAGCCAAAGAAAAAAAAAACTTTTCATGACCCCACCCCCTATATATCAGTCAGTTATATGCCATGCGTGATACGATCATGTATCTTTCGATACATGACTGACGAAGCATATTTTTTCCCACAGTAGGATGCCATTTCTTTCTGCGGTAGATTAGTTGCCATCCAAGTCTATAGAACCCGGTTTGTCGTACTATTTACCCATAGCTGGGGGGGGAGAAGAAGAGGCTTCATACCTTTCCCAAGACTTTTTGCACGTAAGTGAATGCAATGCATTCGACTAGAATTCGAACTGGGCTTTCCAATTCCTCGATCCGAGCCGCTATCCATTACTCCACTGTGTCTCCTCCACCCACTATATACTGGTGTCTTTTTACTTCCTCCGATTTTGATTTGAGTTACTTTCCCTGGATTTCTAACTCGGTAAGCTGGTCTCTTTTTTGCATGAATCAAGCATATGGCCTTCTTTACATTGTTACACACGCACACACACAACCACCGACGGCTTATTAACAGTTTCGTCTACCTAATTTCACTTACACGGCTTCAATAAATCCGTGGTATGTTTTTTTAAACAGTTCCCAACGATTCCGCACACTGGTGTTATCTCCCCAGTCGACATTGTCAAGAAGTCACCTCCTTAACAAATAAACCCAGTTGATATTTGAACATTCTAGCCACTCGGATAATATCTAAAAGGTATTTTTCTGTTAAAACATATTTAGACATATCGAGACATAGTAACGGAAATTTAATTATAATTATTTCTTATTCATTTTATTAAGCCACGTCCGGTACAAGGCTATGTATTTTTAAGTATTAAACGTGTATGTCAATTTACTAAGGACAAGGACAAAAGTATGAGGCATCCAGTGAAGATCGAACTCACTACTCAGTTGTAATTGTTGTAGCGAGACAAGCTTGCTCACTATACACAACGTCGAAGTGCCCCTTCCCCAAGTTGAGTAAATACGTATATAAAAAAAAAAAAATGAAACCTGCCATGGATTTTGTGTCTCAGTACATGTGCAAATGTGTTTTTAATTGGATGAATTTAGCCAATCAAATTAATTTTGATAAATTAGCCAATCAAAAACTGTTGCGTAGATCCGTTTTTCTTTGAAGTGAATCCACGTTAGTGATTTATTTTTCTGAGTATGAAAATAAAAACCTATTTAACCAAGGAAAAAAGCAGCTATGCAATCCCTAGCAGGAATTTTACACCTTAAGCAGTGAGTTCAATCCTGAAAGCCTACTTACTTTGACATTTTACCAAAATTAAACAACGACTAGAAAAGTTATTACAGACATGATTATCATGCCCAGTAGTTAAAGTCTACTAGTTGTCTACCATTTCTGGTAGACAACTAGTAGACTTTAACTACTGGGTACTTAGCCAAATTTGAGGTACTTAAAATTATGATATATTTTGAGTATCACCAATGCTAATATCGGCCTTCCTCGAACCAATGATAGATTTTTACCATTAGAATTACGATCTTTGAGCTTTTAGAAGTTTATTTAATTTCGGGTGATCCATCTATTATTCATCTGAGTAAGGTCGAAAAATATTTCCCAAGACGTTATAATAACAACAATTAAGATTAGAACACTAGTCTCATTAATTCGTGAGATAATAACATCGCCTAATCTCAGAAATTAGACGACTTTCAATAGAGGCGAATGTTTGTTTGGGGCTTAGAAAATCTGGTACAAGAAAGTTGAGGGGACGGGTAATTAAAAAATCATTTATAAATTTAGCTGATTTTTTTTTTATGAGGGTTGACAGCATGTTTTAATTTTTTTTTAAATTATAAATATTCGTTTTGAATAGATCAGGTGCTTTCTCCTTTTTCAGATTAAGATCAATGCAGGCACTTCAAAAATGTAACACAACCTTATTCACCTAATTATATATATATATATATATATATATATATATATATATATATATATAAATATATATATATATGTATATATATATATATATATATATATATAAATATATATATAAATATATATATATATAAATATATATATATATATATATATATATATATATATACGTGTATATGTAGAAAATTAGATAGAAATATACATTTGTGTGTGAGTATGCGAGTGCATATATATATTTGTTATATATAATCGTGTGCGTCTATATATGCGTGTTTATAGATATGAATGTGTGTGTGCGTGCGTGTGTGTGTATGAATGCATGTATGCGTGATGATGCATGCATGAGTTTGCGTGATTATATTACCAGAATAAATCCATAAACATTATACAGCCTATGAAAATATCGATGCTACACAGTCTTCCCAGAAGGCTTGTCTCAACTTGACTGATAAAATTAAATGTAAATAGCAAAAGCGAGTAACTCCTTATATATATATATATATATATATATATATATATATATATATTATAGTTTAGAATTTCGGTATATTTAATACAGAGAATGAAGTTTTTTCATGAATTTTTAATTGTGTAAGTTATTTTCGAGAATGATATAGCTCTATATATTAGTATCGTATGAATCTTAAAATAAACGACAGATTAGAAATTCGTTTTATCCCCCCTCCAGATATAGTGACCTTTTTTTTTATATATATATATATATATATATATATATATATATATATATATAACGGTAGATAATAAATATTATGAAATATTTTTGTTAAAGTTTCATGTATTTATCCACGAATTCTCTGCATAAAGATACGAAGAAAATGTCCCAAGTCATGTCAGCTACAAAATGTGAGAATTTACACGGATGTGGAATTGTATGTAATATAATTTAAGACGAACAAAATAAACGATAATGAAAAAATTATGTTTTTAAAAATAAAAGGGGAATCAATTAGAGTTTTTCTCTTCTGTCTTTTTGTAAACAGCGAGAGGTCACCGATATAAATTTTAATCATATTTGTGAAGGTGAAAAAGATTTTTTTTTTTTTTTTTTTTTGGTGAAGATGGCTTCTTGATTGCCGGATGTTAGGTGACTGCGCCCGGATCATAGCGCATGCGTGGAGCTTACCTCGCTGTGTCCCTCGATGGACTTCGGTGCTGTCATGTCGCTTGGATTGTTCGGGGGTACAAGCCGGTTTTGTTCTTCGACATAGTCAGAATGCACGGCCGACATGGACACGCCCGGGTGGTACTTCTTGTTTCCATTGGCTTTTAAGTGCCGCTGTCGATAGCAGCGCCAGGTACAGTAACCGAGAATGACGGCGTAGGTAAAACAAAGGAATCCAGACACCACGGCTATCACTACTGTCTTGCATGCTCCACCGCAGCCTGACTCCTGGGGATGACTTGGGACGGCTTTGTTATCTGAATTAACAAGGAAAGATAAAGAAAAACGATTTGATGTAATTGTTTTGGTAAAGCAAATCAAATGTTGGTCTCGATTAATACCTGGGTCACAGCCTTAGAAACAAAACAAAAAAGAGTCTTGGACTACAATGTAATATATCTAATCTCCTATGTGAATACTGGACACTTACCTCGCAGATGAAGAAAAAATTTGAATTGCCAAACATTTACTTCTACCCATTAATGCTATGAATACTATGGACAGTATTAGAAACGAGAAATTTTTAATAATAGGTGTTACACCCAATTATGGATTAAGTAGCAGGCTAGACTAGCCCTCAGGTCATGGTTGGCAGCCAGTCTAAGAGATGGGTTGCACTGAATTCAAAATCGTAGGGAAGGCAAGGTAAACCATTCTTGGGAGAGTCAAGATCATGTACAACCTGAGAGGAGATAACATCTATAAAACATAAAAAAGATCTATAAAGGAAAGGATGCTAAGGAGTAGAAAGAGACAGTTGAAATTTATGAGAAAAATAATGAAGAAAGAAGTCTAAGAGGATTTAATACGCAGGACATACTGAAAGTGAGGGCAAGCAGAGTAACCTACTTGAGTCAATGAACAGCAGAATGAAAAACAAAGAGGGATTGTCAAGGAACAAGAAATATTTAGAACAATGATGATGCGGAGAACCATGACCAATCACAACTTGAAAAGACATATCAGAGAGAGAGAGAGAGAGAGAGAGAGAGAGAAACCAATCCTGTAATCAATACTTCGGGTATATCATTCACTGTGCCCTCTGCTTAGACTGCTTAGACTTGTGCCACTCCAGATTTTGTCCATTGGCCCGAGGCCTTCTCCAATGTGACATGATTAATATATATATATATATATATATATATATATATATATATATATATATATATATATATATGTGTTTCATTAAATAATATAGACAAGTGTTGCCTATTTATTTTATGTAAATTCTTTTCATAACGTCTGATAAGCTTAATAACATTATCATTAAACGAAGAAGGAAAATCACAATATTGATACATATTTTTTAATCCTATCTAAGCTTTCGGCTTACATAAGCCATTATCAAAGATGAATTTCCTCCAGTTGGTCCAGGGTAGTTATATCCTTTAGTTTATCGTAGATGCCCTGTTTGTTGCTGTTAAGGGTGTTCAATATATATAATGAAATACAGTTTTAAGGTATGCTATATTTATAGGTTAAATCCGGGAGAGTGTCTGTGTACACTGATATCAACACCAAGATGGGATATATATATATATATATATATATATATATATATATATATATATATATATATATATATATATATATATATATATATATATATATATATATATATATCTCTCTCTCTCTCTCTCTCTCTATATATATATATATATATATATATATATATATAAACTGATTTAAATGTTTTCGCTACACAGTAATAACCATGTTTCAAAAAGCTTCGAATTTAATTTTGTAATTAAATTAAATACATTAGTTCCATTTCATCCTCAAGCGAATTTTGGATAACTTACTTTTTAAATTTACTGAGTTTTAAAGGCACAGAAAAATTCCTAATTCATTGTTTCCAAGGTTTGTAAATTTACAGAGTATTACGGATTATGTATCTTCCTGTTTCTTTCTATATATATATATATATATATATATATATATATATATATATATATATATAGAGAGAGAGAGAGAGATAAAAGCGCAGTGTACGTGTGTCCGTACGACCGTCTTTCGATTTTGACGAATCATAAACAACCAGTAGCAGTAGTAACGACTGTAGTTACACACGATTAACAATTAAATAAATGCCATTTTTAAAGTTAAATTTATCTATGGAACAAAGTGATAGGTTAAAAAAAAGCATTAGTTCTGTTTCATCTTCAAGCGAATTTTGGAATAACTTATTTTGAAATTTACTGAGTTTTAATAGCATATACATTCATAATTTTTATATATATCTATATAATTAACCTAATACAAGGCTTGAAGGCAATACAAAGTGTAAGGTTACTTTTAAAATGGTAATAATGAATGAAATATATGTGTTATGAATAAAAGAACAGATTGTAGTTATTGTAGATTATGAATATATGGAGGATAGATAACGATTGTCCCTCCACTTGAATAGCTTTGAATTGTAGTGTTGAGGGAAGCACCTATGTGGGAGTCTGTTCAACAAAGTGTCAGTTTGGTGGGGAAGATGTCCCAATGGAACTTTTTACTTATATTTGGAACACGGGCAAAATGAGAATAATTCGATACCATTGAAGTGGCATGGCGCTATAAATCTACGAAAACCAATATACCCATCATGAAACCCAATCTGATAAAGTTATACCAGTCGCATGAATAATAGTAAAGGTACTGTTAATATTAACTGTTTCCTTATAAGGAAATATTCGGTATTCTTTGACCGAGCAGCTACTACTACTGTAGGTTGAAAATTATAAAACCTTTCTCTTAAAACAAATTTTCAGGGAAAATAGTGTGTTTCAAGTTCAGTAGCTGTTATCTCTCTTTCCAGTATTGACAGAGTTTTCCTTCCTAACTTTTTATTTGAAGTGGTTTGGTATGTTAGTATCTTGATTATGTCCTTTTTTTCTCTTCGAGTTACATGTTCAATCCATTTTATTCGTTGCCGCTCTAAGAAGTCCTCAAATGACATGTTTTCTATTATTTGGTACAGTTCTTTGTGATTCCGTTGCGCCAGTCCACAGAGTTCGATGAAATATAGTCGTCACTAAAGCACATATGCTTCACTCGCTCAAAGCCATTTTAACCATTGATCATAGAAAGCGGTTGTATACAACAGGCAGTTAATATAAGCTCTTGATAAAAGCGGCACATAAACTTGTAAGTGAGGTCCAGTTACTTTTCTGCAGTGTAACACTCCCCTCAGTCGGTCGCCGATTGATGGCGTTCCCACGTATCGATTTATGAAAGCAAATCTCTTCGAAACTTTTGTGATGTTGTATAGTGCGTCCATTTTTTTTTTCCTTCTCTACCTCGGGTTGCATTCTGTTGAGAAGCATTGGGTTGTAAATGTTTGCTGCAATAGAGGCGAGTGTTATTCCGTTATTTTTTTCCCCCGATTTAGATCTTTCTTTGGTAAAGGAAGTATGCAGTCTTCAGTCCAACTTCCGGTGACTACTCTTTTATATGTGGCGTTACTGAATTGGTGTAGAATATCATTGGAATTCTGGGCTTTCCAAACCCCCGAAGAAATTTTATCAAGCCACGCTGCTTTCCTATTTTTGAGTTTTTTTAAAACCTGTTTCAAGTTCAGCATCAGTAAAGTTTCCAGTTTTAATGTCAAGAGGATGTTCATTGATTTGCTTGACCTCAGTATCTAAAATGTTAGGTACAAGAAATGTTTTAAAATGGTCTTGACATTTATTCAGCCTGAAGATTTGCCTCTAACTTGGATTTTCTGGACACCTAGCGATGATGAAAGACAAGCTGGTCAACCAGCAACTACCTACATTGACCAGCTATGCTATGACACAAAATACTACCCTAATGACCTTAAGAATGTGATGTTTGGTAGACTTATGAATGTCCGAGATAGCTCAACTGAATAAATAATTGATAGGGGTAAATATTAGTACTGGATAGCAGGTTTTGAACGAGTGTAAAATGGCCGTTAGATTATTCTGATACTGATGAACAACAGTTCAAGTGTAAAACGAAACATTTTTCATATAGCCACAAAGTGAAAAAAGATCACGTTTTGAGTTGAAGGTCATAGACAGCTCATACTCTCCAGAAACGATCGAGGTCAAATTTACTTCGTAGAGGCAGAGTGGGGTGCGTGGAATTCGTTCAATTACACCCGGCCTGGTCGCACGGGAAAGAGCGCAAAAACCTCGAACTGTAGACACTAATTATAAAATGATTTGTTTCCCCCTTGTGGATCCGCTTTCATATTAATCCATCAATATCTCTGGAAATATCTTTCCTGATCCTATCAAACACAACCGGTCGGCAACCAGAATAAAACTGAATCCATAAATATACATCGTACCCTACAAAAACAGATGCCAAACATTTAATTATTATTATTATTATTATTATTATTAGGGCTATCAGTGCCATCATCATCAACATGATCTGTTATACTGCTACGCATATTTCTCTATTCGATTTATTTCCTCCACAAAAAGAGATGTTTCAAGTCCGAATATCAACGATTTGAACATTCACATACAATTATGAATTATTATGTATTTAAGAAAGGTTGCGCGGTATTGTAACTAAAAGTTCTGGGAATATCAGGTGCAGAATTCTCTCATGAAACAAAAAGAAAAAAAAAGCATTGATAGAGAATGAGTTACTTTATTTCCTGGTGGCGTAATATCCAGAAATCTATTAAATGTTCGGTAACGAGAAACGGCGACTAACTTAGAAGATGAACAAAAATTATCAATCTGCTCAAATTTCTGTTACCTTTTCGTTTCATCGTCATATCCTGCTTCAGTCAAAGGCAGGTTATCAACCTTAGGTAATATATATATATATATATATATATATATATATATATATATATATATATATATATATATATATATATATATATATATGAAGTGTATATATAAATGTCGGTTTCACGCCTCAGGCAATTTTCAGATTATCGCTTTTAGCGTGAAAATGATAGACCTGATGCAGTGCTTATATCTATGTCCCCACCCGCTAGACTTACAAACGCCTTATCACTCCAACATTCACACACACACACACACACACACACACACACACACACACACACACACACACACATATATATATATATATATATATATATATATATATATATATATATATATATATATATATATATATATATATATATATAGAAAGAGAGAGAGACAAAGAGAGAAACAGAGAGAGAAGGGGAGAGAGAGGAGGCATGGTGGTGTAATGGATAGCGACTCGGATTGAGGAATCGGAGAGCCGAGTTCGAATTACAGTCGAATCCATTACATTCACTTACGTGCTAATACTCTTGAGAAAGGTATGAATCCTAAATAGCAGGAGAGAACGGGTGCTATAGCTTTGGATAGCAACTGGTCTACCTACTCCTTGTCAGTCATACATCGAAAGATACATTATCGCGTAAGCGTGTATCGCGCATGACACATAACTGGCTGAATTAATCGATGTGCCTATTGCTAAGAAAGTTTGTTAACTGTGTTGTGCCAGAAAATCTTTCTCGTCAGAATCCATCTTGCACATTTACAAATCTACCATTCATCTGTGCATTGAATACCTGTTGCCATATCTGATCCGCTGCTCCTGCTGTACATCTAGTGGTCCTTGATAAAACTCAAAGCAGGGTCTCTAATGTAATCGATCCGCATCAGCCATATCGAATAATGTCATTTTGGCACCGACGTGAGGTGGCTTCCTTCTGTCTTTTCTACAAATAGTTTCATAGCAACAGTACATTTCCCCTGGCGTCTCGACTAAATGAATTTAAGTGTGCTACTTGATTAGGGATTAAGTCTAACCATTTTTCTGTCGAACTATGTGGATGAAACCGCCACTCCTAGTTTAACAGTTTCTTTTCTCGCACTTCTCACTTGTGGAATTCTCTTCCAATTTCTTGCTTCCATGCCATCTACAATCTTCTAAATTTAAATGCATGGACAATCATCATTTCTGTCTTCCTGACACATGTTCTTTTATTGTCCTTTCCTCACATCTCCTCACTGAAGTCTTCAT